AGGAAATTTCTCTCTCACGCACACATCTATGTACATGCATATATTCAGCCAAACAAAAAATAAGCAAAGCAAGTCAGGCTGTTTCTATTCAAATCCTGCGAGGATCCTTCTTTGTTGCATGGGTTTTTTTTGAAAGATTTATTTATTTATGCATACAGAACTGGGGTACAGGCCAGAGGTGCAAGAGGATGAGAGACTTCACCAGAGACAGACTGGGGAGCATAACAGGCAGATCGAAGAAGCACTCTGCCGAGGGGAGCAGCAGGCGGGTCAGGAGGAGGTCTGCTGCACCATGTGGGTCACCAACCAGGTGGAAATCGAACTTGCACGGAAGCGGCTGTGGCTGGCTTGCAGTGCTGAGCTTTAACCCACTGCATCACCAGGGAGGACCTGTTGCATGGTTTCTTTGCCTTTCCTTGCCCAAGGGCAAGGTCAAAGCCCTTCATAAGTCTTGTCTGTTCCAATCCCTCAGCCCAGGGCAGCCTTGATTACCTGCACATACAGTCTTTGTTCACTCCCCAACTTCTTCTCTGGCTCTTCTTGCCTTTCAGATCAAGTTCAAACTCCCAACCCCCAGCAATCAGCCTCTTCCTTGACCTCCACCCTCATCCTCAGTGTCCCGTCTCTGCAGTTGCCTCTAGAAGCCAATCAGCATCAAAGACTACCTGTGCTGTTGTGATTTGTGATAAGAAATACATACATAGTGCAATTTTCTATATACATATACACATACATATGCAACACATAGAGATAAATAGGTTTCTCCACACAAATAGATGTAGACACAGATAAATGTATTTCCCTAGGACAAGGGAGTGACTTTCGGGAGCACCAAAAGAATGAGCCAGTTGCCAAAAAATCCCATCTTCCTAGATAAAGTGATTGCAGGATTGAGACTTCCGGCCCCATCTTCCTAGATGGGAGATTAAACCATGAGCAGGGTTCGTTGTTTTATTCCACCCCACCTTTTGGGAGGAGGGTTGCTTGGAACTTCGGTGACCTCCCGACTGTAGGCAGCTTAGACACAGAAACTTGCTCGCCTGACACCAGCGATGCCCTGGAGGTCAAGGATGAGGTGGACTATGGCAGGCCAGCCAGCCCGGTGACTCCTCCAGAGAGCAATAGGATGCCTCCCCTCCTGAGGGAGCCAGAGAGGCTGACAGTTAAGGACCACTCAGGTGGATACGCAGGTGCCTATGGAGTATTCACTAGACCCTTCTCTTGCTACATCATTATAGTTTCTAGCAAAATAGCTTATGATCAGCCATGATGATGAGATTTACACCAAGGAGACTGACGAAGCAGCAAATCTGAACCTTCTTTTTTTTCAGTGCAGCTAAACAGTTCACAGTTAGACGCAAGTGAACATTGACGAGGCTGAGTTCAATTGAAAAGTCAACTAAGGCTACAGGACAACTGAGTACAAGCTGAGAGGAAAATTGCCTGTCCAGGAGTGACAGAATAAGGCTTTAGCCTTGGTGTGAGTAGCAGATCCAATGACATTTTATTTTTTATCCTTGGTCAATACTCCCTTCAGCATATTTTCTAACTATCACTTTTCATCACTGTCTTGCAAATAAGTGCGAAAATAACTGAGTGAAATAAGCACTAATAAGTTTTAGCCCCATCTGAGGTTCTCTACTCCAGGAGGTCATGTCAAGGTTTATTCCCTCTATGAGGAAGACCAACAAGATACAAATGACAGTAAGTTATCTAAGGTGGAAACTAATAAAGGAAAAACCAAATGTTCTAGCACAGAAAAATAAAGACTACTATATTTAATAATACAAGAAACCTGGTCATCAGACATTAAAGGGAAGTTAAGGAAATTGGGGGTGTGCCCTGGTGTATGAACACCCCAGACATTATACCAACATTTGGCCAAGTTAAGGCAAAAGACAAGAATACATCTCTCAGCCCTCCCTGGTGGTGGCAGGGGGTAAGTGTCTGCACTATGAAGCTGTCCACAGCCACAGCAGCAGGAGTTCAATCCCTAGCCAGGGAGCTGACCCACAGGGTTCAGCAGACCTGTCCTGTCTCCCTGCTGCTCCCCTCAGCAGTGGGTTTCAGTGGACCTGCCCACTCTGCTCCCCACTCTGTCTCTGGTAATTCTCTTACCCACTGTACTCCTGGCCTGCACTCCAGCTTTTGAGTGCATAAATAAATTAAATGAATCTTAAAAAAAAGAATACCTCTCTCTCTTTTAGAAGTTAGCAGGCTGGTTTATGTCTAAGATGTTTTCAGAGATAATGCTATTCCAAAGAAGAGTGAATGGGAAAATCCCAGTCATCGTCCTCACTTGCCTATGAGAGATTTTAGGGCTGGAACACCCTGTAAGGACTGACACTCTAGTTCAGGACTTTAGAAGACAGGAGTGGAGCAGGAGGAGACTCCCTTAAGTCAGAGCAGGGCTCCCTTCCATAGAACAAAGGATTTTTCTGTGATGTTAGGTTAGGACTGAACTAATGAAAGCATTTACTCTCTGTGACCTACTTTGACAGTTCAAGTTTCAAATGCAGTCATGCCGTATTTTGTCTTTCAATTAGTTGCTAGAACCCCACTTGCTTTTAATAGCGAGTCTAAATCCTTCTCTCCGTGGGTGATCTAAGAATTCCAGGGGTTTGCGTGGTTCAAAGGGAGTCTTTCATTGCTACTTCCAACCAGACAGTAGGAAGCAGAAAGCAAAACCTTTGATTGTCCTCTCGCCCTGTGGAGTTAGTCGTATCAAATGGTGACACTATCACACACAGTCCACAGGGTGATTGTTCTCTTGTGGGGGTGCTTTGCCGGCCCCATTATTATCCCTTAATGAAGTTTCAACATAATGACCCTTTTAATTCCCCCATCATGTGTGAGGTCATTACCTTCCCCCACCCCCACCCAAAGGACAGCTCTATGATAGAATGAACACAGACAAACTTCCAGCTTCACATACCAACACTGGCGCCCCAAAATCTGTTAGGTCTCTTTGCTGGGGTTCCCATGTAATTCTTGGCCAAACCCATTCTGGGGTCCACAGTGCCCTCCCTTTACATCAGCTTTGGGCCAGGACACTCCTGTCTCCCATGACTAATTTCCCTAAATTTGCATCAGGAAAAGCTGGGCCCTGGGTTCCTTACTTTCTAGAAGGTCCTGAATGCTTTAAGCAAATAATCTCAACCCCTCAGTAGCCAAATGTTCCCGGAGGGAAAATCTTCACTGACTCGCTACTGAGAATCTCTTTCCCTGCATAGTGCTAGCCACGTCCCCAAGTGACTTTTCTCAGCAGTGACCAGTACCTCCTCCTCATAGCTCAGTGACCTGGAGCTCTGTGTGTCTAGAAGTGGCTGCCACTACTTTTTACAGTTCCAGCTCATCAGGCCCAGGCATGTTCTAGAGAATAGAAAGAACTTAAGAGCTAGAAATAATTGAGAACAATGGTTTTGTTTTGAATTTGAGGGAACAATCCCAGAGATTCTAGCTGATTAAAATCCTATTCTCATTGGGCCTCCCTGGTGGCCCAGGGGTTAAGTCTTAGCGCTATCAAGCTGTTGCCAGCCTCTGCAGCAGAAGTTCTATCCCTCGCCAGGGAGTGACCCACATGGCCCGGCAGACTCTCCTGTCTCTCCGCTGCCCCCCCTCAGCAGTGTGTTTCAGTAGATCTGCCTGTTCTGTTCCCTACTGTGTCTCTAGTGAATCCTCTCACCCTGTGCAATTCTGGCCTACACCCCAGTTCTTGTACATAGTTTTTATATGTATAATTACAAAATATTTATATTTTAAATAAATTAAATAAATCTATAAAAAATGAAATCCTATCCTTCTTTAGCAAAAAAATATAAAAAAAGCAAATATTGCTTTTATGCTTAGGATTTGTTTTTACTATTCTATCATGACTCTGGATGGCCAGTGCAGTTAAAGACCATCTCTACCAGATGGAGAACAGCAAAACGAAACAAAACTTGTCTGAATGGGGAGTCCACCCATCTCCTCCAAATTTGTGAGCAGTGTCCACTTCCCTGAATTTGCAAATACTTCTTCCACTCACCATTCTCAATTGCTTGAGAAGCATGGCAGGAAAACAATGGCAAAACTAGATTTTTCAATCGCTTCCACAGATGACATTATGAATTGTATTTGGCTGTTGCTAAGGAGATGAAAATCAGAAGGAACAAAGAAATTGATTGCATCAAAGAGGCGCAGCCATGGGCTTTGCAGAACCACTCTGCTTTGGCATTACTGTGACCAGTTCCCATAGGAACAAAGACATATCCGCCTTAAAAACACCCAGTCTCATCTCCCAGCAAAGGGAAGAGGGAGACGCCAACAGACATCTGCACACATGTGGCCATAGCAACTTTTGTGTAACAGCCCAAGGTGAAAGTGTCCATCAAGGATAGAATAAACAAAAAAAACTAAACACAAATCTACAATAGAATATTATTAAGGTCAATAATTGCTTTTTGATCTTAAAAGCAAGGATATTTTGATACCTAGTGCAATATCCACGAGTCTTGAAGGCTGAACACCTTGAAGGCTGAACACCTTGTAGGGTGAACACCTCGAAGGCTGAACACCTGTAGGCTGAACACTCTGCAGGCTGAACACCCTGTAGGCTGAATACTAGAGAACAATGGCAGCTTCATTGCTCATAGTCCTTGCTCTGCATAGGGCTTGGTCCATCAGAATGGGGCTCCTCTCCTTGTTATTCCAACATACACCCCACGTCCACAGTCTGAAGCTAAAACCTTGAAAACTCTCAACTAAGATGTGACTCTTTTCTCTAAGTTTAATAATGAATTTCCATTCAGTGAGTAATTTTTCTCCTGAAACATCCACTCAGTGGAAAACAAAGGAAGAGGGGAAAACTAAGTAAACAAGTCTGAGAAAAGGCCAGACCCAGAGAAGGAGACGCTTCCGAACTTCACAATCCAGGACAGCAGGCGCTGAAGCTTTACCCCAGACTTCTCCTTTTCCACCAGCCTGGACTAAGCCTCACCCCTTGAATGAATTCCAGGTTCTCTGGCTCCTGAGGGACTAAAGGAGAAAATTATTTTTAGCACAACTCTTTGGAAACCTCTGAGATCTTGGATCTGCTTTTCTGTCTGGTACCACAGCAAATTTTTCTCTGCGTTCTCGTGAAAGATCCTCAGGCTCTCGTGGACCTGAAATCCTGGAGCAACGCACCGTCTCAAAGCCAGGTATGGGGTTTACTCTACTATTTTTAGAATGTAGCTGCAATGGCTGTCTCATTGCATTGTCTCAAATAAACTCATTTGAGTGTATTAATCAGATGACTGTGAGAAGAAGCTACAGACCAGGTTTTAAATCTCTGGTGAGACACTAGCTTTGTGACGAAAAACAGGTGTCTGACTTCTCAGGACATCATTCCCGTCCAACCCGCCAAGGAGGGTCTTTGGGAAGATGCCCTGAGCCTGTAGGTCTGTAGTCCAGAAAATATTTGACAAATGTCAGTGTTCAGTACTGTTGTGCCATCATTGCATTTTACCCAAAGCCGCCAAGGTTTTATGAATCATGAGCTGTTGATAAAAAATTAGTATCGATGAGTAAATATTTTCCTTCGTCAGCCTTTGCTGAGCTGCTACTGCAGACGTCTTTATCCTAAGTGCTGGTGACATGGAATGCACACGCTGGAGAGGAAGGCAGGGAAAGAGTTAGCATTCAGTGGGGTGAGCGGGATAGGGAAGGGGTAGGATGGAAATGTGTGGCCGGTAGAAGCCAATCCTGGGGGTGGGGAGCTGGAGCCCCAAGCTGAGCAGAGGAGCCCCTAGAAGAGGCAACTTGGACAGGAGCGTCTCCTCGGGCCCCATCCCATCTCGCCCCTAGCGCAGCCAGAAGACAGAGCTGCCATGGAGAAATCTCCAGCCTACAGGCCAAGGCAAGCCTCGTTCTGGCTGCTGCTGGCCACCTATCTTCTTCCTAACGATTTCCAGGAAGAGGAGTTTCAAATTGAATTAATAATAAAGTCCAGCCCTTTGTCACGAAGTCATGTTACGGTTCCCATCACATGATAGGGGAAACTTGAGTGTTTGAAGTCCAAAGAGTTCGGCTACTCCCTCCTGCCTGTGTTGTTTGTAGGGCTGTGTGGGCTTGAGCCTTGGTCTGGACTTTCTTGTTTGTAAAGTGAAGGTACTAGTCCCTCTTTCTGAAAGTGGTGTGGGGATTGAGTGAGCGCTCTTTAAAACATTTAGTATAGTCATGAGAATACCACCCAACCCCACCATCCTGATCTACTTTTCTTTTTTCTAAGATTTATTGATTTATGCATATAGAACTGGGGTACAGGCCAGAGATGCAGGGGCAGTGAGAGGCTCCACCAGAAACAGAGTGGGGAGCAGAACAGGCCAACTGACCAAGTCCACTGCTGAGGGGAGCAGTGGGTGAGACGAGAGGTCTGCTGCACCATGTGGGTCACCTCCGGAGCAGGGGATCAAACACACTGAAGCGGTTGTGGCTAGCTGCAGTGCTGCGTCCCAACCTGTTGCACCACCAGGGAGGGACTTTTTTTTTTTAACTGAATTTGCCTTTAATTGTGGCAAAATAGACATCACATAAAATCTGTCATCATTGCAGTGGTTGGCTCGCAGCACCAAGCATGTTCCCATCGCTGTACAACCATCACACCCTCCAACTCCAGAACCTACCATCTTCCCCAAGTGCCACTCTGTTCCTCTGAATCCTGTCGCCACCCCCTGCCCAGCCTCAACACTCACCATTCTGCTTCTGTCTCTATAATTGTGTCTATTCTGGACACGTCATACAAGTATAATCATGCAATATTTGTCCTTTGGGGAACAACATATTTCACTTAGTATTCAGTCTTTCAGACTCATGGATATTGCATTAGATGTCAAAATGTCCTTGCTTTTGAGGTCAAGTCCTGTTCTGTTGTCGGTGTGTGTTTAGCCTATTTTGTTTATTCCTTCATTGGTGGACATGTGGGCTGCTGCTACCTTGGGCTGTTACACAAGAGCTGCTACAGCCATGTGTGTGCAGATGCCTGCTGGAGTCCCCCTCTCCCTTGTATGACAGGTACATGACAGTACAGACCTGTGAATGTCGCATGTCTTCATTGTGAAGGTGTCTATTCAAATCCTTTGCCCATTTTTAACTAAGTGATTTGTTCTTTGCCATTGAGTTGTGAGCAGTTGTGAGCTGGCTATTACCCCTTTATCAGATACACTGTTTTCAGATCTCTGCTCCCATTTCAGTTGCTGCCTTTTACATCTCTTCATCATGTCTTTCTTTCACCATGCAGAAGCTTTTAGGTTTCATGATGTCTTGCGTGTTTATTTTTGCTTTTAGTGGAACATCAAAAAAAGACAGTTGCCAAGGTCAGTGTCAAGGAGCTATACCTTTGTGTTTTCTTCTAGAGGTTTGATGGTTTCAGGCCTGACATGTAAGCCTTTGATCCACTTGGAATTCAATTTTCTGAGTGGTGTCAGATAAGGGCCCAATTTCATTCTTTGGCATGTGACTGTCCGGTTTTCCTACCGCCGTTATTGAAGAGACTATCTTTTCCCCACTGAGTATTCTTGGCTCCCTCATCAAAATGTTAGTGGACAGTACACGCATGGGTTTATTTTATTTTTAACATAAAGAAAAATATGAGCTGTTTACAAAGGGATCTCAATCTGCAGAAAGATTTTCCGGAAGTTCAATCTTTGTGTGGATTGATTCATCTTCAAGTGTTTCCCATCCAGCTGAGCGAAAACAAAGGGTTCAAGACTAAAAAAAATTCCGCAAAACACCATGTACTACAATTCCTGCCGTGCAGATTCAAAATATACCTTAGCATGAAGTTTCTGAAAGCTACAGGACCATGAAGTTATTTTTTAAATATCTTTAAAACTCTAACATGTGAAGATTTATGCATTCCTACATTCTCGGCCACTTTATCCACAATAGCCCAGCCGCGGACCCACCGCTGCCCATCAGCAGATGTCTAGATAAAGAACTGTGGCATACAGACTCAGGCAAGCTCTGCTACACTATTTTAAAAAGATGGAATTGTGTCTTTTGGGGTAAAATTGATGAATCTTGAGGGGATTGTGTGAAGTAAAATAACTCAGAAAGTGAAAGACATGTACCGGATGGTTTCACTTATTTGTGGAATTTAAATAACCAAAGAGCACATACTGGCAAGCCCAACAAAAATAATTTCTAGACTCTGAAAAATGCGCTGGTTACCAGAGGGACTGGGGTTGGGGGAGATCAGGGAGGAAGGCCACGGGGATAGCGGTGCTGGCTCTGGAGTCTCTGTGGGGAGTGAAGAGGTGTGCGCACGCCAGCAGGTATGAAAGGTGCCCCCAAATGATTGACAGGTTGATTTTTAAATAAATAAAGAGGTGTCTTTTAAAAATGAAAACGTGTTGTTTTACAATCCCTACAGTAAAATGGAGTAGAAAACCCTTTACAAGTAACATCCAAGGCAAATCCGGTCAAGATTCACAATATGCCCAGAATTTTGATTTCCCAACCCAAAGGAACACAGTGGTGGGGGAAATATAGCCAACTACATATTTGACATAAATTTGCATAATTCCATGCAATCCTTCAAAGCCTTTTGTAGGGGCAGCGACTGCTAATGTCTGTGAAGTCTCTTTCCGTAGCTTTGAAAATGTTCTAAAGTTAAATTAGATGCACGCACATCTGTGCAAGCTCTTGCTGTCTCCTTTCATCTGGGGCGTCTTTTAAAGTTGGGTGTCTTGATCAGACCCACTGGACAGTTCAGAGCGTGTCTTAATCCCCATTGATCAGTAGAATAAATGATTCTGAGTTTGTGTTGGCTTACCAGTCAAATGAACAGAGCACAGCAAAAATGTCCTCCTGTACTTAGAGGGTTGGAGGTGTCGGAGTGGGGGAAGGTACCGTAACACATGGATTCACTCAAGGAACAGAGCCTGAATTTGCATAATTGCTTCAGCTGCTCACTAACATGATTTCTAGGAATTAGTCTTATGTGGAACTCGTGACCACACTATATTTTTCTGAGCTTGGCCTTCTAGTGTGCTGGCAAATTTTTGGGTCTGATTCCAAGATGTTGCACTTCCCTTTTTTGGTACCATAAAAGTGGTCTGATGTACCGGTTTCGTTTTCTAATATGGCTGTCAAAAAAAAAAAAAAACCCTATCAGATTGTTTTTCCCACGTGTTATGATCTCTCCCTTTGAGTGAGTAGCCCCCAGGCCCTAGGCATCCACATCAAGCATTGCACAGATTTCTCATTGCAAAAACATCCCCCTGAAGCCACATGTACGCAGTCTTCCATTCAAGAAACGGCTAATGCTGACGTTTCAGAAAATCAAGCGTCTGCAGCCTGCATGCCAAGAGTCCGGCTTAAAAACCACCCACCACTCTCAGCCTCTCAGCTGCCAGGCTTTGCCGGGTGAAGGCTCTTGGATGGTGACTGAAGAGAGCTGCTGCTGTGCTGTGTGGAGCCTAAGTCTCCGGGCAAGGCTTCCTCAGCTCAGCTCCTCGGGATACCGCCCAGTGCTAACAACTTAATGGGCACTACAGCCTTCCATCCCACCGGTTTTAAATTAAAGCTCGAGACCCCCTCAGGATAGCACAGTATTCCAATTACGCTAATTGACATTCACAGGATTGTCAAGTAAGAAACACGGTTTCCGAAAATGCCTCTTCCTTCCTCCTGCTTTCCAAAGCCCATCCATTGTAAGGAAACGAGCAGGAGCAGAAGCAGGGATGCCAGGTGGGCTGTCAAGCCCGAGGTTTCCGTTGACAGAACTGGAAATAAATGTGCATAGCAGAGAATCACGTGCGCAAAGGATCCTGGAGTCAAATGGGACCTTTGTTGAATGGAATGAGCAGGTCTTGATATGGAGAGGTGCTCAGGATAAAGGGGAAGAAGTGCAATCACAGGAATGACCTGGGACCACTATTCTTCCCAGGGAGAAAAGAAAGATGGAAGACTGTTTGTCGAAATGCATAGAAAACGATCTCCTGTTGATGCGTATCATTTTCATTGGCAGCTCTTACTTCCTTTTACAATGCACTGCTCCAGTCAATAGAAAACATTGTTTTTGAAGCCCATCTTGGATTCCTGCAAAAATGTGCTGTAAAGTGAATTATTTGGGGGTGTTTTAAATCAACCCTTCATCTCCACCAGCCGAGACGGGGCAGAGACGCGCGGTTGCCATGCAGTTATGGGGATGCGCGGTTGCCATGCAGTTACGGGGCTTCTGGGGGTGGGGGGTTACTGCAGAGGTGGGAGCACCAGAAGCTGAGTCAGGTGCTCGACTACAAACCCCCAGCTGAGCTCTTGCATCCATGTGCTTCTCTTTCAGAGCCAAAGATGTTCGTCTTGCTCTACGTTACAAGCTTTGCCATTTGTGCAAGCGGGCAGCCCCCACGGGGCAACCAGTTCAAAGGCGAGAGCTACTCCCCGAGGTACATCTGTAGCATCCCCGGCTTACCTGGGCCTCCGGGGCCCCCTGGAGCAAATGGTTCTCCGGGGCCCCACGGTCGGATCGGACTTCCCGGACGAGATGGGAGAGATGGCAGGAAAGGAGAAAAAGGCGAAAAGGGGGCAGCAGGTAGGAAAGGTGACGGTCCCTCAGACACCTCCCGCTCCTCCATCTTAAAACTGTTCCCTTTCCTTGATGCTGCTGTTTCATGAGACTCCTCCCAGCCCCCTTCACTGCCTCACTGCCTTGATGATAACGGTTGCGCGCTTAGGTTCGCACTTCTCTCGGCTCGGCCTGCGTTTTCACTTCACAGAGATGACGGCTCTCAAACGCAGACACCATCTTATTTCATAGAGCAGAAGCCAAGGCAATAATACCACGACTAAGTCAAGGATGCAAGTGACCCCCTCATGGCAGGCGGAACCAGAGCCCAACTCTACCAGCCCCGACCCCTGGGCCTGGGCAGTTGTCCTGGGGCCTGGTGGAGAGACAGGTGGGCAGACTAATCAAGGCAGAAACTGGGAAGCCACAAACAGGTGCCACCCTGCATGGTGTCTGGGCTCCCAGGTGAGGAGTTAGCGCTGCCGGGATCCCTCCCCAGCCCCTCTCTCAGCCTCTCAGCTCCTCTCCCTGGTCCTCTCCCCTGCTGCCCTGCAGAGGCTGAGCCTACAGCCCTGACAGCATCACAATTGTCCCCAGTAATTTTCACATTTTTCCCCTTAAATAAGTTGGCCCAGGAAGTTTGCCAGATTCTGTCTTCCTTCAGAGTAAATCAAATTGAAATTCCAGCGAGGCTGAGGCTGATTTAACTCCAGTGATTATAAATCAGTCTTGAAGTAAGTTTCTGAAGGTAAAAGCTGGGACTAAGGGAAGGAAGAAAAAAGTCACTAGGTCTAGGAAGATGTCTGTCTGGCCACAGACCGGAGTCGCTGTGTTCTGTGGAATAGCATCGTAGTCTGTTCAAATTATTGGATGGTCATTTGTTTCTGAGTGCATCATACAGAAAATACTTGACAAATTGGCTACCAGATCCACACACAGTATTCAGATAAAGAACTTTTTTTGTTTAATAAATCTATTGTTTAAGTCTGGTAACATTAGGATCCCCCATTAGTTATTACCCCCATAGTGCACCCACCACCAAATCCCCCACCATCCCCCACCATAATCCACCGTGCTCCCTTCCCTCAAGATGAAGAGCTTTTAGTTTAGAATTAAATGTGTCTTTCAAAGGCTTCTTTATTGTAATATCTATGAACGCCGTCTACTGCTGGGTCATGGCCATGATTCATGTAATATCACGGGGATGGGTAGATATGTGTTCCCAGCCTTTCTAGTTTACCGTGTCTGGAAGCAATAATGTCAAGGCTACACAAACAAGCTGTAGAGTCAGAAGGATTTCAGCTCAAGGGCCTCTCTGTAGCACAGAGGTTAAAGACTCAGTGCGATAGAGCTGTCACCAACCACTGCAGCACAAGTTCAATCCCCAGCCAGGGAGCTGACCCACAGGGCACAGCAGACCTCTCCTGTCTCCCTGCTGCTCCTCTCAGCAGTGTATTTCAGTAGATCTGCCTGTTCTTCTCCCCACTCTGTCTCTGGTCGATTCTCTTACCTCCCCATACCTCTGGCCTATACCCCAGTTCTTGTATGCATAAATAAATAAATTAATATCTCTCTTTAAAAAAAAAAGGACTTCAGCTCAAATCTTGGCTCCTTATTTAAATCTGGAATAATACTGGCTAGCAATGGGTGCATAGGAAGCTTGTTGATGAACTGAACAGGTGAGTGAAGGAGTGAAAGAATGGATACTCTGTGTAGTATCCTTGGGAAAAATTGGCCTCTTGGAGCCTCCATTTCTTCACTTGTGAATTGTGGGTAGTCAGGGCAACGATGGAGATTAAAGACAATAATACATGTGAGTCACTCAACAGAACAGCTTCCATGCATTAAGTTCTGAAGACATATTGGCTCTTACTACATCATACATCATTATAAGCTGTAAACATGGTTCTAGCCAAGTTCAGAAGTATCCAGCGTCACATTATAACCTAGAAATAATTTATCTGTTCCGTGGAATGATTGTAGTGAAAGATTCCTCTCTGTATATGAATTCAGAATAAGTCAAATATTCAACATTGGTATGATTTTTAAAATTCATTGCTATCAATGAACTTTAAGAGGTCAGCTGTACTACCATATTTATTCATCCATTCTTTCACTCCTTCACTCACCTGTTCAATTCATCAACAAGCTTCCTATGCACCCATTGCTAGCCAGTATTATTCCAGATTTAAATAAGATGATGCATATAAGTACCATACCTGGTAGGTCATAAATATGAGTGGTTAACTTTGTCGTTAAATAGATGTAGAATAGGACATGGAACTAAATAGGCACAGAGGTCTGTCTGCTCCTCTCTGCACCCATGACCCACCTGAGCACTGATATTGTCCAACTCACTGAATTCCTTCTGTAGAGGGAATTCTAATCAGGTGATCGCCAAAATGATAGTAAATTACTTTCAGTTAGTCATGATTTAAATGATTTCTCACATACTCCAGAAAATGTTCTTGAAATTTCTGACGAGAAGTTTCTGCCTCCCTGTCAGTGCATCAGGAAGGTTCTAAAAGACTCCCGATCTCATAGGACATGCTTGGGAATCGGCTGGAAACACACATTGAAGGTGTGCTGGGACTGGCTGTCCTGCCCTTTGTGACTCTATATTTAGAGGCACAATTAATTAAACTCTAAACTCTTTTTGAAGGTTTGAGAGGTAAGACCGGACCCCTGGGCCTTACTGGAGAGAAAGGGGACCAAGGAGAGACTGGGAAGAAAGGACCCATGGGACCCGAGGGAGAGAAAGGAGAAGTGGGTCCAGCGGGAGCCCCTGGACCAAAGGGAGACCGAGGAGAGCACGGGGAGCCGGGACCGCCCGGAGTTTGTAGATGTGGCAGCATCGTGCTCAAATCCGCCTTTTCAGTGGGCATCACGACGAGCTACCCAGAAGAGCGGCTGCCGATCATATTCAACAAGGTCCTCTTCAACGAGGGGGAGCATTACAACCCTGCCACAGGGAAGTTCATCTGCGCTTTCCCAGGCATCTACTACTTTTCTTATGATATCACGTTGGCCAACAAGCACCTGGCCATCGGGCTGGTGCACAATGGGCAGTACCGGATAAAGACCTTTGACGCCAACACTGGGAACCACGACGTGGCTTCGGGGTCCACGGTCATCTACCTGCAGCCAGAGGATGAGGTCTGGCTGGAGATCTTCTTCACGGACCAGAACGGTCTCTTCTCAGACCCAGGTTGGGCAGACAGTCTGTTCTCTGGATTTCTCCTCTATGTGGACACAGACTATCTAGATTCCATCTCAGAGGATGACGAGCTGTGATCACCTGACTTGGATGCTCCAAGAGCCTGTGGCAGCCACTTTTGACTTATCCTGGGACCCTGGCAGGCAGAACACCCAGACACAAGATCCAAAGGGACTCCTGTCCAGATGCCAGAGCATTAAAGACAGTTCTAGCAGAATCCACTAAAACAAGATGAACCACCAAATGGTTAAAATCAAGCTGAAATAAATCACGTAAAACAATCACCCTATATATGAATTCTCTTGAAAGCAATATTCATAAATATTTAAACAAATTAAAGACAATGTTAACAAATTTTCTATTAAATTCCCTGAGTGTTAAAACCAGCTGGTGATGATATTGGCTCATTAAATCTCCATCAAATAACATGTTTTGTCTGTTATTTAAGAGAGTCATAACATCCCCCCTTTGATTCTCAGAGGCTCTAGTAAGCCATAAACCGAAGGTAAGAGATGTAGAGTAATTTTAAGCAAGCTAAATTGATCATTTTTCTTGCTTTCTTAGTCTTTCTTTCCTGCTTGTAAATATTCACTCCACAACTTTTTAATGAGTTTACCTGACCCTATGAAGATGGCCTAGATTTGATAATGAGTGAAGACGAAATCCCTATCTTCATGTAGACTCACACCAGAAAAGATTGGCTCAATACTGGAAGCACTTGGGGCCTGTTATTTCTGAGAGCTGGGACCTGGGGAGGTTTTGCACTCGGCATGCTAAGGCCTGGGTCTTTGTGTATGTGAGATAGAAGACACCGAACAAGGAATTCAACAGCTGCATCTCCCCTCCCAGTCCTCAAAACACCACTGGTATAAGCTATGCAAAGGGGTGAAAAATCCAGAGATAAAGGCACCCTGAAAGGGGCCATGGAGTTGAAGAATCCTAATTTCTTGGGACCAACCAGTATGTCATTCTCCCAAAACTTTGAACATGCTAATTTCCCAGGACAATTATTTGTCTTCATCGCTTTCTGACAAATAAGGGACCCACTCTATTATAGTCAGACGCTTAGTGTGTTCTGGATTTCCTAAGAATTCAGATGCAGCAGAGATGTCCTTTATATACAAGTGAGCTGATGGAATGAGCGACAGGGAAAGACCTGAACAACATACTCCCGCTCTTTACAGTGTCAGTATCTTCCTCGCCGCAGAACAGAGATTCCTCAGTAAATCTCACCCCCAGTTCTCTTGCAGTCCTGTTCTTTGACCAGTAGCAGTACTATGCATTTACTGTCTCCCTCTTGGGGGCTTCTGATGCTCTTGCCAAGCAGTCCTCTCTCTGCTCATTCATTTCAAAATGATTTCTTTAATGGACTTGAGTCTGAGAAACCAAAGATAATGCTGATTAGACAAAGGAGGACAAAATGGTGGCTTGAGGTAGCCACTTGCTTCTAGGTAGTAGCTCAACCTGGAATTCCATGCTACCCAGTATAGAGTATCAGCAGAAGAAGCTCATGTGGGAAACACGAAACTACAATGGGGTTTGCTAATGAAGAGGCCACAGGACTACTTTGGGACGTCAGTTTTCTTCTGATAGTCTTCAATTAATGCATTCATTTCTTTGAATATTGTCTACTTTTAAATGTTCCTTCCATGTCGAAGTCTATTTTAAGTAGCTTTTGAAGTGAACGTTTCTTTAGTTGTTCATAAACCCAGCAATAAATTTTATTTTTATTATCACTGATGGGATCAGAGAGCTAAAATGGGAAAGGAAAGGCTACTTTGGTATTAAAAGGATAAACTCTTATGCAAATGCAGGTGTCTTTCATTCTGAAAAGAATAATGTACAGTTTATCCATATTTATGTATATTTGCATAAAGGAAAAAGAAGCACAAATTTGGTTTAAAAAACTCCAAGTCTAACTCCAATCATCCCTAAGGGCTTTTCATGTAATGAGTATGCATTAAGAAATATTTGTATTGACCTTCTTCCATCTTGTTCCAGGGGACTTAAAGCCCCTTCTGACAGATGAAGTACATAAATCGCCCTTTAGAGCAGGTGAGAAGAAAAGAGCAAAACAAACAATAAAACAAAGAGGAAAGCTAGCACAGACCTGCACACATCGCAGCAAGATGGCACCATGGAGGCTGAGTGGAAGAACCTCCTTCAGAGGGGAGGCTGCTGGCTGGAGCTCTTCAGACTGTAAGCACCTGTCACAAGCCCTGGATGATTATCGGTCCTTCTGACCCACGTCACCCACCTCAGGTTCAATTAATTTACTAGAATGGCACAGCTCTCAGGAAACCCACTACACCCTAGAAGCCCAGTCTATTAGAATGGTTACTTCAGAATAGTAATCAACAGCCAGATGGGAAAGCTGCCTAGGTCAGGATTTGGGGGAGTCTCAGAGCTTCTACATCCTCGCCAAGTGTCCCATTCTCCCCGAATCTCCACGTGTCCTCCAACCCTGGGGCTCTCTGAAGCCTCCTGCCCTTGGGTTTATATGGAGGTTTCATTACCTCGGCATGAGTGATTTAATCCTTGGCATTGACTCTGCCTCTGTCCCCTCTCCCCTCCCCGGAGGCCTGGGGGGAGTAGGACCAAAAAGTTCCCTATTTCCTGACAACCAGACCCATCCTTAGGGGATTCCCAAAAGTTACTTTCCTTAACACAAAGAGACAACTTCATCCTTCACAGCACTTAAGAAAATCTAAAGGAAGATGTGACCCAGGAAATGTGGACTGAGACCGAATATGTAGGACAGATGCATTTTGGCCATCTGAATGACAGATACATATAGTTGCTATAGCTCACAATATCACATACGTCAATACTCCTTTTCTTTTTGTTCTCCATCAGGGTTTGTGTATCTCAGCAAGAGTGACATCTGGGACTGGAGCAGTCTTGTGGTGTGGTTCTGTCCTGTGCCTTGTAGGCTGTGAAACAGCATCTCTCGTCTCTACCACTAGGTTCCAGGTTCACCTCCCTTCCAATCATGATCATCACTGGTATCTGCAGACTCTGTCCTTGGGGCAGGGGGACGAGAACAGAATTTTCCTCAGTTGAGAACCACTTGTGTATACTTCTGCATAACCTGGTGCTGGTGACAGCTACCCTGTCCTGTAGGTTACCTGGTTTTCAATAGCTATGTTAAAGATGATCGTCTTCTCTTTCCACAGACAACCACATTGCTGGTCTTCATTTTAGTACTTGTTCCCTTCTGAGCACCAATAGTAGAACAGTACATTAGCCTGGAAGATACACAAAAAGCAGCCAGACGTTATCCCGCATTCCAAGTCCTACTTGTTATAGCCAAAACATTTCTTCTTGGTGTTGTTTAGATACAAAAATCACAAAGTCTCCAATTCAAAAAACTGATTCCAAGAAAATAATGAATAACTTGTGCAAAGGTTTAATTAATCTTTGTAGTGAAGATTACAATATGGAAGATTGGGAAATACCCTAAGTGTCTGATAATAGAACATTGGTAAATGAGTTATGAAAACTCATCCAGTAGACTATAAACAGTGTCTCTAAAAGTGATGAGACTAGAAATGTATTGGCACCACAAGGTGTTCATTAAATGTTAACAGAACAAAGTAGATTACTAAAATATTTTTTCAGTCATTTTTCCATCTTTCAAGAGTGTTTATATCTGTGGAAAAATTGTGGGTAAAACCTAGTTATTAATAGGGACGTTTTCATTTCTTTCCTTTTTGATTTTTACTTTCTACTTCCACTTTTTAAGTGGAAATAAAATCCCTGTGAATTAAACAGTTCATTAGATCATCAAGGAAGCATTCAACCCAGGAAGAAATCTGACAGGTCTTAATCTGGCAAAATCATTCCAACAGACCCAAGTTTGAATGAAGTTTATATAGGTAAGAACAGTGAGTCATTGGCATCAGAAGTGTATTCGGGGAGGCTGAGAGGCTGGTAGGTCTAAGGAGACCTAGAGATATGTTGATGCTGTCTGTGGGCACAGGGAAGCAGAGCAGGATTTAATCTCCCCCTTTCTGAAGAATGCACTGTGGACATGCAAAGGTGGGATGAACATTGTTCAGTCTTCTTCGTCAATCTTCTCGGATATTAATGAGTGTGAAAAAATGGCCTTATGACAAAACATCAGACTTTGCGTTGCTGTAGTCACATCTCTGCAGAGGGCCTTGCTCTGTCTGCCAGAACAGGGATGGATCTTGTTCCTAGAACATTTTGCAGTATGTTCACAATAACAGTACTTGAAACAGAATTTGCTATATAAATTCTTAAATAGTCAGGGAAGTTTCATATTGTTATGCAAAGGATGGTAGAAAAAAAAATTCTAAGGAAAAAGGAAAGATACCTAGAGGTATAGTTAGGTATGTGGAATGATATCACCCTTAACATTTTCTGGTAGCATACCTGAGGATGTCTATCCCAGAGGATTTTTTGAAAGCAAGAATAAAGCAAAACAATCCTAGTTTATATATATGTATATTTTTTTAATTACACCCCATACACATTTGAAAAGGGGAAAAAATGAGTCTTGAATTGACATCATTTTATTTGAGCTTTATTAGCCCAGGTCTGTAAACCCAATAGTTAGCTACAGTGTGAAGTCATCCAGAACCAATGCATCTGTCAGATGACAAGGACATTTATGAGCAGCAATATGAAGAAGACAGAATAATAGCTTTGCTCCAGTGCCATCACAGAGGTGGCAGAATTTTCTAAAGTAAAGACTTGCCCAATCTAGTCAGAATTCCAAAAAATAATCTGAAAGCACTGGGAGCAGAAAATCATAAAATAAAAAGCTGCATAGATGTTCTGTCCTTTATAGGATCTTGTAAGTTGCAGCCATGGCTGAAATAAACAAAAGAGAGGAAGTAAAGTCTCTGTAATCATCCCAATCACAGCTTCAGACAACATTCTTGGCACCACAGAGATCCCTGTTGTTCTGGAAATTACTCTGGAACAATGATATCGAGTTACCACAAGAATTTTCTACAGAAAACACCCAAGACTTATTAGATTGAGAAGTAAACTTAAAGCAAAAGCTGACTGATGTATTCTAGTTGGTTGGACTATTGGTAAAAAAAAAAAATTCCACAGTTGGTAAAGGAGATATTCGGTACCCAGGAGGCATGCACATCAATAAATCAATTCACACACACAAGTCCTTACCCATTTGAGTTCCCTTAGGCATAAAACTCAGGTTAAATGCAGGACATTCAATCAATCGGAATTTTCGGTGGCACAACAAATAATCAGCCGATGTTATCAGAGCATGATTGAGGGGCACGCAGGGACCCCAAATTATTAAGGGTCACACACTCCTAAATGGTTCTGGCCATATGCAGCGCAAAGATATTTAAAGGAATTTGAAGAAAAGAAGGAAGGCTAGTCTTATTAATAGTTTCCCAATAAAA